TGAGCAGGGCCCGGGCAGTGGGACTAGGTGTTGGTGGCTCGGTGCCCCAGGCCCTGAGGTTGGGGGTCTGTGGGCTGCAGAGGGGAGCAGCCCCTCACTCTGCCTCCCCTTCCAGGTGCCAAGTTCCCCATCAAGTGGACGGCCCCCGAGGCGGCCCTGTATGGCCGGTTCACCATCAAGTCAGATGTCTGGTCCTTCGGCATCCTGCTGACCGAGCTGACCACCAAGGGCCGGGTGCCGTACCCAGGTGAGAGCTGGCAACAACCCCACGCCCCACGGGCTGGGCACAGTGTGTGACCCAGCCCTGCTGCCCTTCTTTCCCTAGGGATGGTCAACAGGGAGGTGCTGGACCAGGTGGAGCGGGGCTACCGCATGCCCTGCCCGCCCGAGTGCCCCGAGTCACTGCACGACCTCATGTGCCAGTGCTGGCGGAAGGACCCTGAGGAACGGCCCACCTTTGAGTATTTGCAGGCCTTCCTGGAGGACTACTTCACCTCGACAGAGCCCCAGTACCAGCCCGGAGAGAACCTATAGACCTGGAGCTCCTCCTGGCACCAGAGGCCTCGCTGTGGGGCACAGAGGGCCGGCTCCATGCAGAGGGGCCACGTTTTGGGGAGCAGCCCCAGAGCAGGATGTGGCACGGTGAGGTGCCGGGTGCCGCATTGCTCATTAAAACTGCTGGGCCGCACTTAACGAGGTGGCAAGAGGAGCCCTGGGCACTGCCACCAGTGGAGCTGGGGCTCAGGATGGCGAGTGGAGCAGCTGGATGGCTCCTGGCCACGGCTTTCAGGACCCTCTTCTCACAGTAGCCAGAGAAATTGGGGTATAGCCTCTCCCACCTCAGACACACTGCCCCACACCTCCTGCACCCCCTTTTTTAAATCAGCACAAATTTCTTCACCCATTCACCCACCCACTTCACTCCGAAGCTGTTTGCAGAGATGTTTGGTGATGGGGAAGGCACTGCTTTGGATTGGATGCAGCTGGAGTGCAGACCTTGGGATGCCTCATGGAGGCTGGCCATCTCCCTTCCTCTAGCACCCGCCCGTTCTTGGGCGCAGGGCTCAGTGTTTTGGGGAATTACTTGTCTTTCAGCACTGCTTTTGTCCACCAGTGTGTTTCTAGCCACCATCCCCCCTGCTTCTGCCATCCCCATATCAGGGAGCACGGAGCCACCGGGAGCCATTTGCAGGCTCAGCTGCTCCCTGCTTGCTGTCAGCACCGTGTGTTGGAGGTCAGAACAATCCATGAACAGCCCAGTGTCCACAGCAGCACCCACTGAGCACCACCCTGTACATAGCCCTCCCACTACTTGACCCAGCTGCACATGCTGTCATGTTCCTCCTGTGGTACCACCAACATCTGTCCTCGTCTGTCCCCAGCTGGAGCCCCTCATCACAAAATCACTACCTGTGTCCTGGACCTCTTATCCATCACTCACACCTGGTGCCAAAAATGCCTCCGGAGCACCAAGCTGAGCTGCTGCTGCCTCCCAGTCTCTCCCCAGCATCTTATTTATTACCCGAGTTCTCAGTCGGTGGCTCCGTTTTAATGGTGAACTCAGTACGAAGGGGCTCTTAGCAGTATGGAGGGTTCCCACCTTTGGCCTGGAGGACTGTTTCCATGGATTTCTGTACTCACAATGGGACTCAGAGCCCTTCGTCCCCCAGCACATTTCCTGTGCCCACCTTGGTGCAGGGTCTGCTCCCCCCAGCGGTTGCAGCTTTTTAACCCCCGCATCTCATGATGTTTGTGTGCCATCACCACACAGTGTGCACAGTGCCTGCAGCCCCAGGAGAAAGCTCTGAGAGCAGCACATGGGAATGGGCAGTAGCCAGATGTGAGCCAAGAGCTGGGGAGAGGGAAAAAAGGCAGACACACACACGGACACACAGCCTTTGGTTTCCCGTAGCATGGAGCAGGGCTGGGGGCTGCTAGCCCACCTGTGCTCCACAGAGCCCCCTTATGCCATCCCCTCCACTACCAGTCTGTTGCTGAAGCCAGTGAACAGCAGGGGGGTTACTTCCCCCCCATCCCCCCAGTGATGTTCTTTGGCACAAAGCAGCCCTGTGTGAGACATTCTTTTCTGCTGGTACCATTTTTTAAAGCATTTTGTAACATCTCCCATCAACTATGCAGAGGACGTGTGGATCTGTTTTTCTCCCCAACCCACTCCCCCCTCTGCCTCTTTCAGTGTCAAAGTAAGAAATATTTAGCTTTTTTTTTTTTTTTTTTTTTTGTGATAATAATAAAACTTTGGAAAAACCTGACCATGTCCGGCGTGGTGGGGAGGGGCGGGAGGGAGTGCTTTGAAACTGATGATGTTGTTGTAAATACTTTGCAATTTGATAATTAAAGACAAACAGACCTCACCAAACAGATTGCTGTGGGTTGTGTATGGTGAAGGAGGATCTCTTGGCATCCCCAGAGGGCATGGAGTCCCACGTGGCTCTCAGGGTTGTCTTGGGGGGGGGGGAGAGGCAGTA